CACAGAGGTAGTAATGAGCATGGCATCATGACGGCTAGGAGAGGATGGATAGAGAGGAAGAGAGGGCGATTCCCAGCGAATAGGGGCCAATAGTGCTGGGCAGACAATAGGAGAATCAAAAACAGGAAAGGAAAAAGCTTGAGTTGGGCTGATGAAATGCCACAGTTCCCAAAGTATTCTGCAGATATTCTTAAGAGTGACAAGAAAATGGTAGAACTTTGAGGTCCAGACAATCTGGTAGAACAGCTCAGTCTCCTTCCCTGAACTTAGTCATATAGCCACCAGAGAAATAAGAAGGAAACTGGGCCCTAGGGCCAACATCAAAACTGGAAGACCAAAAGGGCCTGGGTCACTGCATGGGAGAGAGAGCTGCTGGGAGTTTGAGAAGGGGAAGGATGGTAGACAGGTGATGTAGACCTTTGCCTGCAAGTCCCTGTTGTACAACTGAGACCCGGCAGCAAAAGTCGCTCCATCACCTAATCACAGTGTCTAAGATGCTCCTTGAGCAACAGAAGATTATGGAAAGGGAGTGAAAGTGACAGTGTTTGTGTCTAGACAGCAACACCAAAGATGTCTACTCTAGGGGCCTCCCCATACCAACCTAAGAGACTGAAGTCTCAGCCTCCACATTGGCCTCTTTCCCAACCCAGGCACACATTCCCAACCCAGAGAATGAAACTGAGCATACCTAAAAAGCCCTTTGAGGATGCCAGTGACAGAAAGACAGCAGTAGCCCCACATGTGTGATCCCAGAGGAAGCCGAGAATGGCTGCATCTGGCCTCAAAGAAGAGGAAAGAGGACTCTTCCTGAGTCATCCCCAGTCACCTTGCCTACAGCCCTTCTCTTTGCTCAGGAAGTGGTCAACCAGCACCTGCAGCATCATGAGAAACAGTCTACAATCCCTGCGTGGTCCTGGTACTCCCACAAATGCACTGGCTCCTGCACACACACTCTGCCCCCTCAAAGACTCATGGGATTTTACCTTCAGGGCACAGAAAGCAGGCAGAAAGGTGAGGCCACTCCTGTGCACACAGACGGCATCTCATACTCAAGGTCTTCCTGCTGCCTGGCTATGCTCCGTCTCCACGGCCGCCTACAGCCCTGTTACAGTCAGCAAATTTAAGACCTGAGGATTGACCCTGGCCAAGATTCAAATTACAACAATTCATTACAGTATGATGTGTGCATCCTCCACCCAGGCATCCCAGAGCCCTCTTACAGGGTCAGGGGTCAAGCTGCGATTCCATGAGCCAAACCACTTCTCTTGTGCATGGGAGCTCCTGTTTCTCATGTCAGCAGTACTTATTGGCTAACCGCATCCACACAGAATTTAAGAAAGAGGAAATCGTGGCATTGGAAGAGAGGTCATCTAACACAGCATTTCTCAATTTAATGTGTGCCAAACCCCATGGGATGGTGCTAAACACAAATTTTAATGCGGTAGATAACGGGTAGGGCCCGAGATTCTGTACTTCAAGCAGGCTCCCAGGTGTTGCTGCTGCTGCTGACTGTAACAGATAAATACTTCACAGATCTGCACCTTCCAGTATGTAGCCCCCAGCCACACATGGCTGTGGAGCACTTGGACCATGGCCAGACCAAAGCAAGATGAGCTATGAGAGCAAAGTAGGCATCAGATTTCAAAGGTTCGGTAGAAAAGAGGTGCAACATATCACATTAATAATTTGATATTGGTTCCATGTTGACATACTATTTTGGATGTACTAGGTTAAGTAAAATAAATTATTAAAAACAATCTTGTATCTTTTTATTTTTTTAAGATGGTTACTAGAACACTTTATATTTCATATGTGACCCATTGTACTTCCACTTAATGTTATGCCACAGATCCTCCCATGACATCTAGGAGACCCCACCAAAGTGACATCCCCAAGGGAGGGTGTTTCTCAGAAACACTGTTGTAGCCTCAGTAGGCATCCCACTCTCTTTTTACACACAAGAAAGCCTCACACTCAACTTTGAGAACATTGAGCTAATCAAAGTTAAATAGATTCCTTCTCATCAGCGTTCTCAAGCCCTGATCTAGTTTCTGTGCTTTGTGAGCTACTTCACCCGGAGGTATAGTGCACAGGGTTCCCAGACTTGCCTGACCTCTCTGCAATAGCCGGTGGACCAGGACTCATTCTTCAGGCAAATTTCTAGGTTCTCAACATAAGCTGGTCAAATTAGAATCTCTGCAAGTAGAATGGGAATGTAGAACAAAATGACAATGGACTATCATCTCACCACAATTAGAGTGGCCATTACTGTGGCAAGCAGGTGGCGTGGTGGGTAAGGTGCTGGACTCCCACATGGTTGACTGCGATTTGAGTCCCAAACCTGACAGCTTGGTTTCTCACTTTCCCTTTCCCTCTCTCTCGCTCTTTCTCTCTGTCTCTATCTGGTCAAAATTTAAAAACAGTAGTAGTAAATTAAGATAAATGATTCTTTTAAAAATGTTTTTTATAAATATTTTTTAAATATATTTTTTTAAAGAATGGCCATTATTAAAAAGACCAAAAAAATTAACAAACACTGGTGAGGAGGTAGAGAAAGAAGAATTCCTTTACACCATTGGTGGTACAGTCATTATTGAAAACAGGATGGAGGTTCCTCAAAGAAATGAAAAGAGAACTGCCATATGATCCAGCAAGTCCAGAAATCTAATTTTTTAATAATGAAATGATCCTAAAGAATTATCTTCATGTGTTCTCTGATGACTGCTTGAATAACCCTCGGGGCAGAGAGTTCATTACCTCAGAAGGCAGCTTATTTCATCACTGGGCAGCTAACACTACTGCAACAGTTACCATCAGTATTGTTATCTCAAATGACCCCCCCATACCAAAAGCTACCTGACCAAAGACGATCATGTATAAGATTAGGCCAAGATTTAGGGCTCAGCAAGCCCAAACCATCATTTTCCAGGTAAAAGGCCAAGATACAGAGGGAAAGACCTATTGGAGATCACATATGCGGAGAGTGACAACTTAAAAGTCTGAGTCAGGCTTGCCCCTGGCAGCCGTCACAGGTACCATCAGGTCAATACCCTCTCTCCACCCAACTGAGCACCAATTCTTGGTTGGATTTCCCACAGCTTTTGTTTTGCTTTTGTTTTTTAGATTTTTACCACAAGGCATGTGTGCTCACCAGAGAGAGAGAAAAAGTGAGAAATCGCACTCCCCGCCCCCCCCCCAGGGGATCACACCATAATCCTTTCTCCTTTCTTCTCTCAGGATTTTGGGCATGTACACACACCCACCTGCTATGTTTTTTAAGCTGTCAGGTGGAACTGATCCATGAAGTCAGTCACATGGGATCCAGAAATTTAACCACCACATTACCTGTTGGCCCTCTCTTCCAGTTCTTACATGTTGTCTTTAAAAATAAATAAATAAATAAATAAGTAAATAAGCTGTCACTGGGACCAAGAGGTGGTATGGTGGTTAAGGTGCTAGACTTTCACAGAGCTGTCCATGGTTTGAGTCTCAAACCTGGCAGCTTGCTTTCTCACTTTCTCTCTCTCCTCTCTCTCTCTTTCTCCCTTTCTCTCTCTCTCTCTCTCTCTCTCTCTGGTGAGTACATGTACCCTATAGCAAAATTTAAAATAACAACAATAATTAATTAATTATTTTCAAAAAGTTGTCATTTGGGACTAACAGGTGGTGCGGTGGTT